TCCTGCAGCCCCTTCGTCCCTTTCCCCCTCACCTCCTGCAGCCCCCTCGTCCCTATCCGCCTCACCTCCTGCAGCCCCTTCGTTCCTATCCCCCTCACCTCCTGCAGCCCCTCAGAGAAGCAGATGAGGATTCTCTGACAATCAACAAAGGTTCTGTGGTCATCGTTAATTCTGAATTTTTTTTACTGAATTCTAATTCTGCCGTGGTGGGATTCGAACCGGGTCCCCAGAACGTTACCTGGGTCTCTGGATTAACAGTCCAGCAATAAAACCACTAGGCCATCGCCTCCCCGTTTGAAGAGCTTATGCTGAACACATTAATCTCATCAGCATTATTTTAAAAATACAGTTCGTTTAAACAGAAGAATGACCTCCAATGCTGAATTGATGGTACAAATAAAAAATGAAGCATAGTTTAAAATGAGTGTTGTTAAAACATGCACATTTTGTGTGTGCATATTTTGCCTAGACTTGGCTGCTTATTAAATATTTTTGGACTTGCACACACGTATCACTTATACCAAAAGTTGTCTGGATTTTTACTGAATTCAAATTTCGCCATCTGCCGTAGCATGATTAAAGCCCAGGTCCCCAGGACATTACCTGGGTTTCTGGATTAACAATCCAGGGATAATACCACTCTGTTTGTTCATTTGTGGGGCATGGACATCGCTGGCTGGACCCGAGGGCACAGCCTTAGAGCAAAGGGAACACCTTTTAGAACGGAGATAAGGAGATACTTCTTCGGCCAGAGAGTGGTGAATCTATGGAATTCACTGCCACAGAAGGCTTTAGAGGCCAGGTCATTGAGTACATTTAAGACTGAGATAGATAGGTTCTTGATTATCAAGGGGATCAAGGGTTATGGGGAGAAAGCAGGAGAATGGGGTTAACTTATCAGCCATGATTGAATGGCAGAGCACACTCGATGGGCCAAATGGCCTAATTTCTGCTCCTATGTCTTATGGTTTATTGTCCCCGTCCCTAGTTGCCCCCCCACCCTTGAGAAGGTGGGGGTGAGCCGTCTTCTTGAACCACTACAGCCCCTGTGCTGTGGGTTGGCCCACAATGCTCTTAGGGAGGGAATTCCAGGATTTTGACCCAGCGACAGTGAAGCAACGGTGATGTATTTTCCAAGTCGGCATGCCAAGTGGCTCGGAGGAGAACTCGCAGCGGGGTTGGTGTTCCCATCTATCTACTGCCCCTTGTCCTTCTGGATGGAAGTGGTCGTGGGTTTGGAAGGTGCTGCCTGAGGATCTTTGGTGTGTTTTGAAGAAGAAGATGTGGCTGATGGGACATGGAGGAAGGGTGGGATGAGGGTACTGAGCTCAAAAGACAGCCACGATGACGTTAAATGGCCGATCAGGCTCGAGGGCACAAATGAACTACTCCTGCTCCTACCTTATGTGTTTACATTAGGTTTAAATTTTCACCATTTTCGTTGGTAGGATTCTAACCCAGTTCCCCAGGACGTCAGGCCAGGGTTCTGGATTGCTAGCCCCAGCTGCTATGCCACCAGCTCCCCTAACACACGGTGGATACAGTTGACACAGAGAAGGCGTTTCCAGGTCTGAAGTTTCATGGTTCTCTTTGTCCGTGTCAGAATTCCAACTGTAGGTCAAACTGTCCAAATCCCAGAGGAGCACAGGGCTCCTGTCTCCTATGTGTGAGGGGGGAGGAGGGGGTGGTGAACAGACAGACAGAGAGAGAAGACAGAAACAGAGACAGAGAGAGAGAATAAGAGACAGAAACTGAGAGACAGACACAGATGTGGAGAGAAAATCAGACAGAGAGAGATAGAGAGGGGGAGAGGGTCGGGGGGAGCGGAGGAAGGGAGAAAGGGTGAGAGGCAGAGAAAGAGGGTGAGAGGCAGAGAGAGGGATGGGGGTAGAGAGAGAGGTAAGGGGGTAGAGAGAGAGTGAGGGGTAGAGAGAGAGTGAGAGGTAGAGAGGGGGTGAGAGGCAGAGAGAGGGGGTAGGGGGTAGAGAGAGAGTTTGAGAGGCAGAGAGAGGGAGTGAGAGGCAGAGAGAGGGAGAGTGAGAGGCAGAGAGAGGGGGTGAGAGGCAGAGAGAGAGAGAGGGAAGGGGTTAGAGAGAGAGGGAAGGGGTTAGAGAGAGAGGGGGGGGGGGAGAGAGAGGGGGGGAGAGGCAGAGAGAGGAGGCGGGGGGAGAGAGAGGGTGAGAGGCCTGGTTGTGAGCTGAGCCTGAGGGTCACCACGGCTCAGGCAGGAAACCAAGTGGGACCTTGACGATAGCCGCGGCAACCGAACCCACGAAGTTGGCGTCACTCTGAGTGCAAACCAGCCGTCCAGCCCACTCGCGCCCCTATTCCAATGAGTTTAACAGACCCAATCTGAAAGGCCGCAAGTCCTGGTTGTTTTAATGAGGCCACGTTGTGCCGAATTTATTGAGTTTGTCGTAAAAGGTGGCAAAGGGAGGCGCTCCAACAGAAGCAGCGGACTGGGTCACCTCACTGGATGACTGGGCGCTTGCCTCTTGCCCTGTTCTGTTGACTGAAGGTACACTGATGCCTTGAGAGTGTGCAATGTGCCAGTGGAAGTCACAGTACCATCAATCCCTGTCAGCTACTGCCACTTCAGCCTCAGCGGATGCTGAGTGGGTTTCAGAAATGCATCAGCAGTGCACGGTCGATCGTGGATTGGCGAGGCACAAGTGTGTTTTCATCAGGTCTATCTCGTTCCTTTGTGCCTCCTAACCAGTTTATTCGTACATTCAGTGACAGGATTATCTGGTTTGTTGCAATCAGCCCCTCTTTCCCACATTTCCTGAAAAGTGGAAGTCTTTTTTTCAGAAAAGCAAACACGCAAAATCTGTAAAGTTGGACGTTTTCTTTATTCCTTCATTTTTCTGCCTTTGTATTCTATGTTTCGGTTCATTTTTCTGCATTTTAAGATGGTGCTGGAGAGTGGCAACACCACACAACACATTTCACAGCATTTTGTAACATTTACACGTGACACTAAATGAATCAAATCTCTCAATTTCCCTGACTCTCAGATCCAGGTGGACAGTTAGCACGGACCAGGTCTCTTTACCATACAAAATTCAATACTTTTTGCAAAGTAATTGGATTCGAGCTGCAGAGAAACATTCTAAACTGTCAGCATTTACAAGGGCGCTCGAGGGTTTGACAGGATTGAGCTATAGGGAGAGGCTGGGGCTATTTTCCCTGGAGCGTTGGAGGCTAAGGGGTTGCCTTTTAGAGGTTTATAAAATCAGTGAAGGATGCTGATAGGGTGAATGGCCAAAGACTTTTCCCCAGTGTAGGGGAGTCCAAAACGAGAGGGGCGTAGGTTTAAGGTGAGAGGGGAAAGGGACCTGAGGGGTAAGTTTTTCACGCAAAGGGTGGTGCGTGTATGGAACGAGCTGCCAGAGGAAGTGGAGGAGGCTGGTACAATGACAACATTTAAAAGGCACCTGGATGGGTACATGAATAGGAAGGGTTTAGAGGGATATGGGCCAAATGCTGGTAAACGGGACTGGATTAATTTAGGATATCTGGTCAGCATGGACGAGTTAGACTGAAGGATCAGTTTCCATGCTGTACATATCTATGACCCTACATAACTCTACTGATTAGAACTTTAACACCCTCATAAAACTAGCTCTAAAACACACACACTCGCCCAGAAAAACATGGGTGTTACAGATGGAGGGAAAATTGGTCAATAGGTTTGATGGTGGTTCCTCACAGGATCTGCTGAGAACTGTGCTGATCAGAACACTTCTTCTCAGCCTCTCCATTTCTAGATGCTTACACCAGTTGGCAAGAGGCATAGGTGGCTGCTAGTTCATTGACATAAGGTCTATGACATCTCGATTAAAAGTCACAGAGTTTAGCAGGCACTGAGCGAGAGAAAAGCTGGTCTTCTTCAGGCTTCAGGTAGTTTTTACTGCAAAGAAACAGCTCCTGAAGTTCTGAATAATTTCTCTCTATATGGTTACAGCTCCATTGTACCCAGCTACCTGGAAACCAGTGACATGATTGTTGGCATGCACAAAACCTTGTCCAGAAACCAAACTGCTACTTGTTGTCAATGAAAGTTCCCCACGCACATAACCTTTCGGCTCCAGTTCGTCTGCACCTTCTGCTGTTATGAGAAACTGTGTAAACAGGGCTCACAATGGTCTAACGGAAGGACACAGAGACGGGAACAGTGCACGGTGCTCTGAGTGTGGGTCTAACGGAAGGACACGGAGACGGGAACTGTGCACGGTGCTCCGAGTGTGGGTCTGACCGAGGGATATGGAGACGGGAA